CCGTAAAATGGCAATTGGAAATGTTTATGTGTTGATTGTGAAATTGTTGAACCGTTGAGTTGTAGTCTCATTTGGGTTATTGAAAAATAAAGAAATTGGTTCATGTATTGAAATAAATCGAAGGAAAGCAAAATGGAATATGGACTTTGGTATGTTTATGAGTATATAAATGTCAATGTTTTATCCTTAGCATTGCATATGCACATTCCACTTTTATCTTTGTTAAACCTCATATACTGTGTTAGATTATTCCTACTGGGTTGTGGCTCACCCTATTTGGGAAAAACTATTTTCAAGTAATGATGGCATGCCTCCACCAAGGCAATAGCATTGGAGGGATCTTTGGGAAGCAAAAGCTTCTTGTTTTGTTTCATTTTTTTATAGCCTAGGGCTAAATTCGTAAGGACTAGTCCCGTTTTTGTAGTAACCAAGTCAAGGTTTGGAAATGTGTAAGCCCGAAGGGCATTTATTCATGATAGACTCTTTTTGTATTATGAACTTTATGTAATGAAAGGGCTATTTACACTCTAATTAATGATGTTCTATATATGCTTATGGAATGTATTTATTGTATTATTTTGGAGGCGTCACACTACAAGAACCACTAATGTAAGATCATGTGTAAAATTAGAGGGACTAAAATAAAATTCAATTGATGGTCCCTATAATTTATTTTGAATTCCACTTAACTTCCTTTAGTTTTGCTAGTTTTTTTTGGTTCAAAATATTCACAATACATGATAGAGGGGCTACTTTGTAACAAAATTGAAAATATGAGGATCAAATTATTCAAATTAATAACTACAAGGATCAAAGTAAAATTTTACTCAAATAAGAGGGACTAAATCATATAATTTACCCGAATTTCTTTATAGATTTATTTTAACTATATAAAACACAAGCCTTGTAACTAAAGATGAAACTCTATCTCTATCTTAAAAATGTATCAAATTTTTTCAAGCTTTTTTCCCTTTTCAAAATGCCCATAGAATTGTGGTTAAACAATTATAATGTGATTAGGTGGTGTTTGATTTATTGAAACGAAATATAATGTATTCAATCAAAATATCCATTTCTATATTTGGTTAATTAAAAAAATGATGACAAAATACATTACAAATAGAATCATTATTCCCAATTTGAAGAAAATGATCATTATATCTAATTTCAGTGAATCAATTTAAGCATAAAACCTGCACAATTGTCAAATTTAACCCATTGTTCTTGATTAATCAAATCACTCAAAAAGTTTAGACATAAAATTTCAGATGCATTATGTTTGCACCTATTAGTAACATAAATATATATTTTGGTGTCCTTGAAGAAAATTTATTGTTACGAAATTGAGGAGGACTTAAGACAGATCAAAGCAAAGGTGCAGAGAGGACAGTCTAAGAAAACTCAAAAGAAACTAGAAATGAAATTACATCATTCGCCAATGGCTCTTTCTCTAACAGGATCGCGCTCATGGGAAAGACATAAGTTATTGCAACATTCGAGAACCACAATGTCATGGCCTGCCAAGCATGAAAAAATATGTGATCAAAATTTGACACAAAACTTGGTGAAACGAGCTATGCAAAGAAATGAAAATAAATAAATAAATGCAAATCTACAAACAACTATCATTGAAGGAGAAAACAAAACGAACAGTGAAGATAAGGTTGTCAATTGCAGTCATTCAGATATGCTTCTCATCAAATTGTAGCCGAGACCCAAATTTGTTGATTAATTTTTATATGGCCAAATTACAATAGTAGTCATGTATTTTTGTTCTCGTATTATTTTAGTCTCTATAATTCTAATTGATTCGATTTTGATTATGAATTTATGACTTTGTTTCAATTTGATCAAATTGATTACAACTTTTAATATATATATATATATATATATATTTTTGTGAAATATACACATATAAGTGGCATATGTCGTAGCTTTGAGAGCAGAATTATAAATTTACTTAACTGAGTGTATTAATCTCAACCAATTCAGTGATTATTTTTCATCAAAAACACTAATGTCATTATCAATTTGACTAAATTGACACAAAATTTAAAATTAAAAATCAAAATTAAACCAATTAAAAGTATAAAGATTAAAATGACATAATAAACAAAATATAGAGAGCACTAGTGTAATTTATCTTCTTTTTTTTATATATTTAACTTGCATAAATTGAGGTAGATTGATGCGTCTTTTGAGGTATGAAAAATTAAGGAGATTTTGGGGGTGTTTGGGAAGCTACTTTTTAAATTTTTTTGGCTAAAATTATATTAAAAGATAAAATAAATTAAAATAATTAATAAGATAAAATGTCATATAAAATTTATAATCATTTCAATTTTTGTCTCACAAATATTATATTTAATTATAAAAAAAAATCTAATCTTCTTCCCAAACATAACTATTTCAACCTACTAAAATAATCAAAAATTAAAATATCTAATTTTCCAAACACCCATTTTAATTTGTCCATGTTTACTCAACTTGACATGTCTAGGGACTAGCTAGATAGAATGAGGGGTTACAAATTGCAAACAAGTCATGATGTTTAAAGTTCAAAATTCAAATGCCTTAATCAATCAATGTCTAGCAAAGTTGGATATCACTGATTTTGCTGCAATGCTGTTATCATTTATAGTAATAATTTAGAGTACTAATTTTACTATTTTAATAAAACACTAACGACATAACAATTGAGGTACTATCAGCTCATTAGAATTTAAGAATTAGAACTTTAAATTATTTTTCTATCATTTATTGCCAATTTGAAGTCCATTACCTTGTCAATCGTGAAAGCCATTTACATTTCTGTCAAGCAGAACTCGTCACTTCACTGGAGTCAAATCAACATGTATGTTCTGAATCTTACCCTTACAATTACCACAGATGTGACCTTGCTGTCTAATTGACCACGTAGGTGCACATTTTTCATGGGCGAAGGCATTTTTTGTGCATGTACGTTCTGACTTGATGGCTCTTCCTACGAGTGCAGATCCTCTCCTTGCAAGAGTTTACGAGCGTGCGTTCTTGCAACGGCTAAGATCAGCCGTTGCACATCCAACGGCTGAGATTAAAGAAAAAAAAATTTTGAAGGCTTTTGCAGTCTCTGAGATTTTCTGGGAGAGTTGAGTTGATTGAGTTGTTGTAGAGAGATATGAAAGTGAGGTTTTGAAGGCGGCAGAGGAGAGAAGGGAAATGTCCGGCGATGTTGGTGGAAGAGAGGTCAATGGAGGTGACTGAATAAGTGGATGAATCACAGAAAACTCCATACCAGTTACAGGGATTATCGTCTCTCTCATTCCAGTTTGAGAAAACAGCATCTGGGTCATCGAAATTGAGCTTGAGTTGTTGAAGATAGAGTCCCTCTTGGTTCAGAGAGTGACCCAGATGGGGATAGTGAAAAAGAAGTACTACCAGCAGAAGAAGCATTATTGTTTGTTTCTTCTTCAGGATTGAACAGAGATTGAAGAATTAAGGACGTATTCATAATCTCAAGACCCAAAAAATCGAAGTTTCCTCTGAATTCACTTTTTAAATCTGCTATCAATTTCGCAATATTCCTTTAATTCATTCACGCTGTTGTGAAGACAAATCCAAGTATAAAAAGGCATTTGAAAAAATAAGAAAAAAATGGGAAAATCAAGTTCGATTTTGCAATTTAGAAGATCCTCTAAGATGATCTCTGTTTGTCTCAACCGAATTACAAAACACAGAGCCGATTGTTTCAAACTCCACGTGGGCCATCTCTCTCCTCTCCAATGACGACAAATCAGATGTGATTCTCCTCAAATTTCTCCGAGCCAGAGACTTCCGAGTCACTGACTCGCTCCAAATGCTTCTCAAGTGCCTCCAATGGAGAAAAATTTTTATATATTTGGTTAACGCAATCGAATCGATACATACAGAGCTTCCTTATACTATTATTTTATGTCTCTTTCGCTCTGTGAAGTCTACATGCAAATGTTGAAAAGACACAGTTGGTTCGAATTCGATTCATATTCATTGTTGAAAATCTTTGGAACTGAGAGTTGAAAGAAAAATGAAGAACGAAGAGAAAGCTGAATCTCACTCTCTGACAGACCCATTTGGCATCAATTCCTCATTTGCTCTTCCTGGTTCTTCTTCGGTTGAAATTTCATTTTTCGAATCTGAAATTTCATACTTTTTTTTTTAATCTCAGCCGTTGGATGTGCAACGCCTGATCTCAGCCGTTGCAAGGACACACGCTCGTAAACTCTTGCAAGGAGAGGATCTGACTTTGATGGCTCTTCCTACCTCTAATCCCTTAAAACAAACTTTACAAACTGCTTCCACCTTAGCAATCACTAATGCGCAGAGAACCAAAATCAGATGAAAACAAATTAGAAAGATGATTATTACAAGAACACTAGGCATCACTACAAAAAATGTCACTTTTGGCTATCAAAATATTAGTCATCAAAAGTCTAATATTTAGTCGCTAAAACGATTTAGCGACTAAAATATTTTGTCGCCAAGCTCGTTGCCTTTACCCTGTCAGCGATAGTATTGGCGACTAAATTTTGTTTGGTTGTCGAAAGTGACTACATTTGACTACTAATATTAGTTTAGTCGGAAAATGTTATTTTTCCGCCACTAAAACCTTTAGTCGCCGAATGAGGCTTTTTGGCTACTAAGTTGTTGTGGTCGGGGAAAGTGTCACCTTCAGCTACTAAATAATTAGTCGCCGAAAGTACACATTTGGCTGCGAAACTGTCTTTAGTCAGCAAAAGGTGCATTCGGCAACTAAAGTGTTAGTCACTAAAAGTGCATTGGGTTATGTTTTTGCTATTAAATTCTTAGTCACCAAAACATTTGATTACGTATTTAGCTACCAAAATATTTGGTGGCCAAATACTTTAACGTGTTTTTTTTTTTTTCTAAACAACCTGTATCCATTATTAATACAACTTGTACCCCGTATAAACAATATAATCCATCAACGCTAAATATGTTATCAAGCATTCAACAACGTGCACACATTTTAGTTCCAACCATCCAAAAAATTAATATTGAACGTCCAATTATATATATATTACAAATTTCATAAGAACCATGTCTAATCCAACGTCAATAATTTAATTTCATACATAATACAGGAAAAACCAACTACTCCCATTACACATTTTAGTTCCAACCATCCAAAAATAAGTATTAATAAGTACAAGATGTCGTCCTGGCATCACTATAAGCTCCCATTGTTCGAGTCATTCCATAAAACCCTTTGATTGGAAGGGGCCAACTACTCCCACTCGCCCATCCCCTTCGTCCACTGCTGCTGGCACCTGCAGAACCATTGCATGAATGTAAAATCAAGTGCATGTCTAATAAAAATATAGAAAGACATATTCATACTGTCCTCGATCCAATTACACAATGTAAAATTACTGCATAGGAAAAAAATAAAAGACGTGCTTACCTGCAGTACCATGGAAGTTGAACCCATCATCCCAACTAGGCAATTGGACTTGTGTTCAGATTCTTGCATCTCCAGAGCCTGAAGAGACCTTCAGCAATTGAGTTAGGAAACAGATGTAGTAAATAAAAAAGAAAACTCATCAATATTAAATAATGAAAGTCATTACTATTCATTTATTCCAATATAGAACATGCATATATGTTGTTATGAAAGAAGTGTTGTGAAGTATCAATGATGAGAAAGTGCTGATGTAAATAGAAACTTGTTAGAAAAGTCATTGCTATTCATTTCTTCTCTTTTGCTTTTAATACATCAACAATACTTAGATAATGTTGCAAACAAGGGAAGGTTGCTTAGATAATGTGGTTTGCACTGGTATCAAACAAATTATTGAGGAAAGTTATTTATGGAAACAATAAAATAAGTAGTTCATGATACAACAAAAATACTTCACATCCCAATTATTTGCTGAAGGATCAAAAGGTTGGTGACAATATGTGTAAAAAAAATGCAAGAAGCCCCTATATGTTCATAATTCGAGGAACTTTCCCAAGCTCTCTTTTCTGACTCCAAAACAGTTACTTTATCATCTACCAACATGCCAAATGTAAGCCGTACTAAAACTTAAATTGAAAGGCAAACTCATTCACATATTGAATAAATTGAATGAATTCTAACAGGGTACGCTTGTTAATGTGACTAGACCTAATCTCGGTCATGATGGCCGAAGATGATGGCATAGACAGCTGAATTGCGAAAAACAGTACATGAAGCCAACAAGAAGTAAATAGAATAAAAAGCCTTAATGAGTTGAGTACACATTTAACAGGTTCAGCTTTATCATGTGTTGCCAAGACTAGCATATTACAAGCTCGTAAGACTTTGTTTTAATTTCACCTCAACGCATATATTAATGTCGTGAATCATGATGAAATCAGTCCTAATCCAAAATCCAAAACCAATAATTTTTTTGTCACTCCTATGCATGTCTACAAAACTTGCCCAACCAATAAATCATTAAATTGTTTGTATATAATAGAATTTGAAATTTTCATGACGAATACATACACTTCCCCAACCAATAGAATTCCCAATAAAACTTTGTCTAAACGCTAGAGTTGAACTACACGAAACTAATGTTTTTAAAACATTTAAACTTTTTTAAAAGTAACTCATGTTAGATCAAGGTTCTCATCATTGGGCAAACCAAAATTCAGAGTACATAATTATAAATCAATTGCATTTCCATATAGCATTGACTGAAGGCAAGAATTGAATAAGCCATTTCTTTTTTAAACCATTGAGATAGTTCAACTCTTGCAATTAATAGTTCTAAATTTAACACTTCCAAGTTCCAACCACTCAGATAAAGGCTAAAAGCAGCAGTACCAACTGAAAACCTATTTTAGAATTAACTACAAAGGGAATAGAATGGTGATTCCATAGGCTTTCCTATAGAATGACCAAACATAAGAAAGAATATGTCATTGTTTTTTTAAGTCTAACCAAACATAAGAAAGAATATTTTGATGGAATAATCATTTCATTCCAATGAACCAAACACTATCTAGTCTCTAATAGATTATCTGCAAATTATGAATTAAATTCACATAATCCATTGTTTTGCAATTTGTTTACAACCCAATCTCCTCATCAACACATTGAATAAATTTGATAAATTCAATACATAACCCACAGTCAGCCATTCATTTTAGCTGGGCAAATTCATAATAAATGAGTGCATTGAATCCAAAAAATCAAAATTTCATAAATCAAAGCATTAATAGAAAACACAAACAGATAAAAACGAAGCAAAATGGAAAAGAGTGAGAGCTTTAAACAAAGATGGAGTTAATAAAGAAAGGAAAAGGAAAATGATTTTTAAGAAGTGATAGAATGGTGTGCATTCATGTTTCCAAGAACAATAGGGATGACAATTTACCCGTCTGCCATTATAGGACTTTTTTTTTTCCCCTATGCCAATTTTTGCTCCTACAGGGCTGTCAAATGTTGAATCCCTTATTGATTTCAGTATAAGGAAGATACGAGCCTCCCCTAGCCTACATCTTAACCCCAGTTTATATAATTACATATACTCTTAAAAAAGTTATCTCAAATATTAGTTATGCGGAAGAACAATATATACTTGTTGAACAAAATGATGCATTCTAATGAATCCCACACCATAAAAGAAGACCCTGCAACTTTGAATTTCACATTTGTTATATATACAAAGCTATAAAACATTCAACCAACTATAAAAGAAAGTCTCACAGCTTGGTGGATGTTTGTGTAGATCATGTGGTGTCATATGGCTTAAAATTAGTTATGTGGGCTGATGATTTCAAATTTAGTCAATAAAAATTGGTTTAAATTACTTGCAATAATTTCTGTCGTGGATAGTAAATATTTACGATCAGGGATGGGGTGAGTAAAAACACCTTATAAACAACAATATATTGTGGAAGACTTGGGTTAGGGCAAACACACGAGAATATGTATTGTGGAATATTTTGATTTTGGGGTCACCACAATTTTTGCAATTCTACAAGCATGAGTTGCGCAGATTTTGGTGTTACAATTCAAGGTCATCACAGTTGTATATCAAAGATGTGGACCTGGTCCAAAATCTCTTCTATCCTGAATTGATCTAGTCATTTGAATAAAATTGATTGATATTCCAAAGGTAATTAGGTAAGAGAAAAATTATAACAATAATTTTCTCATACTTACATGTCCCCAGTTATCAATGCCTTTGAACAAAAGCCCAATAACCTGCATGACGTATGCCGTGAGTTAAAATCATGTCAACAAGAAACATGCACATAGGTGATTGCCGTTATTCCAACATCAAGAGTTAAATGTTGTATGCTCAGATTAAACAAAACTTAATTATGAATCTAGTTTATGCAAAAATACTTCCAAATTATGACAGATTATTACACCTACTTGGTAGACTTGAATAAATAGGGTATGATTCATTAGAATCGTAATAAAATCACAACTCCCAACAAGGAAAGCACTAGAAGTTCCTATTTAAAGATGGGTAAGAGTCTCAAAGTAGTCATAGTTTAATATCCCAAACACAAACAGCCCTTAAGTGGTTCAAATAATTAAAAAAAAAAAGGATATGTGTTTGCTTCCAAGATTAAGACAAGAGAATGATTTGAAAAGAGAATCATGAAGGATATGTATGAGAAGTGAAAAACAAAAAAATTAACTTACTCCATTCACTTTGCCCTTTCCCTTTCCCTTCACAAATTCAAAATCCAAACACAACATATATCATTGTATAAGCTAATTTGAGACCATGGCTAAACCCATCCAACAAATTGAACTATAATCTATTTACTTAACCTTAATTTTATGTGCATACAGAATAGCAATATAATGAAAACAACCTAATTTGATCAAAATCAAGAGTATTCAACTACATTTAGCTGAAATTAATATGGGTAAATCCCAAAACAGTACAAGCATGTAATAATACAACTATAAAGAGGCTGTGAGAATCATCAGAACCCACACTAATAGAAGAATCTAGTTATACCCCACACTATATTCATCATATACAAGATGGGTTTAGAGAAAGAGAGAGATTCTCACACAGAAGCCGGTTTTGACCATGAAAAACTCCATTGAACCTCCAATCATCGCCGACACGACTGATATCTTCAGGTACCAATCCCAAAACTTCATTTCTCTATTTCACTTCTTTTTCCACTGCAAATTTGTACAAAAATGAGCAATTAGGGCAAGTTGCTTTCAGTAATTAACAATCAAATAGCCATACTCAAACGCATACACACAAATGATCAGAGAAAGAACTAAAGAGATGTGAAGTAGAAGAAAAACACAAACCTGAGAAGAAATTAATGGATTAGAAAGCATACCTTCTGACTATTTGAAGAACCCATGTGTGTGCGTGTATGTGCAGCTGTATGGGTTTTTGTGAGTGAATGGTGAAAGAAAGAGAGACAGAAAAACAGAGCCGAGAGGGAGAGAGAGGATCTCAGGCGACGGTGACCAACAAGGAGGTGAATCGGTGCTCCGGTTGCTGGCCAACGCGAGGAGGACCGGCGGTGAGAGTGGAGGGGAGAGGAGTGGCGGTGAGGGAGACGGAGACGGAGAGGGAGAAGGACGCTGAAGAGAGAGAGAGAGAGAGAGAGAGAGAGAGAGGTGCTATTAATGGTTCAGGGTTGGGTTTGGTTTGGTGAGAGCGTGAGATAATTTATAGAAACGGTTATTGGCGACCCAAACTTTTTGTCGCTAAAGGTATTTTATAAATCCCTTTAAGTTATAATTAAAAAAAAATATTATAATTAAACATAACATGAGGCATAATTAAAAAAAATTTGAGTCATAATTAAAAAAAAATTACATAACTAAAAGTATAATAGAATTTCCCAATTTTTACACGTCTTAGACCATCTCCAACGCTACACCTTCTGTTTCATCAAATTTAAATTCGATGAAAAAAGAAGTCTTTTGTTGCTCCAACACTTTCACGAAATAAGTATCAAATTCAAAATATGTTAAAGTCTTCATCAAATTGAGGATGACTGTGTCTTTCATCAATTTATTGTTCATAGTTGTTGGAGCTGCAAGTCGTACAACACCACAAGATGACTGGCCGGATGTCCACATGAGCATATTAAGCAAAATCAGTGTATCATTGTATCTAGATGTTGTTCTTGCTTCGATACAATTGTTAATATTTGTTTTGTTTTTGATAAGGCTGTAGAAATTGTTTTCATTGTCTATTGAAAAATCCAACCAAACAGTAGCACTTGGACTTAACTGATTTCACCCATTCTTTCTCTTTTAATATTTAATTTGTTATTTTTTGTTAATTATATCTTTATTCCTTTTGGATCGAGAGAATGGGGTTTCTTATCACTTTATTTGGATGATTAATGATGTGAGTAATTATGAGAAACACAAATAACAACAAACTTTTTGTTTATCACCAAAAATTGTGACATTTGATGAGATATAAAAGTTACTCTTTGTAAAAATAAAAATTAAAAATTAAAATACCTAAACTACTCCTCTAAATACAAAACAAATAAAATAAAAGACACATGTATCCTCTTTTTGTCATTGTCCATCCGAACAAGAATGTGAGAAATCATAATCATTTCTTTTATTTTCTCACCTAAGTGAGAAACTCTAATAATTTTCTTTCTATTCTCATCTCTCGATCCAAACGGAGAGTAGAATGTGGCCTTTTTTTTGGTCTTTTCATTTCGAGCCGAAGCATCAGTAGCTCATAATTATAAAAATGCCATTCCCACATGATCCTGGATGGGCTTTATTTATACAAATTATGTTTCTCCAGAATGTTTCAATTTATGTGCGTACATATTATCTAGATATACCAAGAAAGATGTACGGTGTAATGAGGCTATTATGAAATATTTACTCATGGGTGGGTCAAGCTCTTCTATTCTGGTTCATGGTTTCTCCTGACATGGACTGGCAAATCCAATTCCGAGTTCCGTTCTTGCAAATCCAAGCAAATAAGTTGGTGAGCCATATATACAATGCATTCTTGCAACGAGTAACGGATAACCTACTAAAGAAGTTCATTTGTTGGCCAAAGCCGGCTCATTTCATTCCTCATAGAGGAGAAAGCTCTAACTCTTCTCTTTACACTTTGTCCTAGAAGTCCGAGACTAACATTAATCGAGTATTTCTTCTTTTTAATATTTGCCAATTTGGTGATTTGAATCTTTTACCATTATAACTTATTTTAGTAGGACTATCATGGTATCGTTTGGGAACAAGCTTTTTCAGTAACTTTTTGGCTAAAATATTGTAACGCCCCAATTTCTAAGCCCAAATGTTGATACAACAATCATGGTTCTTTAAAGGAAAACCGAAATAAATTCCCATACTTGCATTACATGACACAAATAGTTCTCATGCGATAATGCATTCAATTAAAAACAAAATAAAACAAACAAATAGATACCCTCAAGGGTTTACAAGTTTCCAAGGCTTAAGCCCGGTTACACAAAACGGTTATTCAAACCCACACAAATACAACCCTTAGCTTACAAAACAGAGTCACGCAAAATGAGAGCATTGTACTCCCAACACACACACTTCCACGCCCCTAGTTGGGTGGAACCATCATATCTTTTCCTGCACAAAAATCCCATATGGTGAGCATAAAGTCCAGTAGGAAATTCTTAACAAAGTATATACATTTTATACAAAACTCAAGAGATGAAATGCACATGCCATGCTATGCCCTTTTTGAAGATAAATCACATTTTCATCTTTTGAAAACCATTGTGCTCAATGATGTCATGCAATTTCAATTGTTCAAAACTTAACAATTTATTTCAAGGGCGGTAAATACGACTCTGGTAATCCCTAGGTCGGTGTTTGCAAGTAGACTATATTAGTACTACCAAATTGTCATTTTTATCGGTATTAACCGGAAGGCTCGACACCTATCCGCGTGGGTTTTCGGTCTTTCACCCCGGACCCTCAGGCCAACTTATTCAATTTCATCTGCACCACCTATCAAGACTTACCAACGTATTTACCCCAAAACCATTCTATGAAAATTTGTTTTCTCAACATTCCTTTCTCAATGCAAGTTTTCAAATTGACTTTCAAAGTTTAATGTAATCAAATGAATTGATATATCAATGCAACAACAATCAATACAATGTAACAATTCTTCCACATAATACTACCATTATGATCAAAATTCCCGTTTCTCATTTCAATATAATTTCACAAGATAAATATAAATACTTTTATCCCAATTCATCATCCAAGGAATAGTACGATTCCCTCTTCTCAAGTATCCTTAACAATTAGTCATTTCTAGACTATAGTAATATTCTGGACAACAATTTCCAAAATGAACAACAATTCTCAAATTCCCTGAAATTCATCATTTATATAAATATAAATAAGAAATTTTCCAAGCATCCATTTGTTTTGACACACAAAATAAATATAACAATATCATTCATGGATTTTCAATCTCTTAAAAAAAAATTCCAAATTCTAGGTTTTCTCACCAAAACTATACAACTCAATTCTTTTGAAAGAAAACTTTCCAAAATCATCTTTTCTTCATTCAACGAAGATCAAAACCCATAAGATCATTTTAAAAGAACAAGAGACAAACCCACTTTCAAAATCGCTCAACTTCTTGAATCAACAATCAATTTTCAAAAGCTATCAAAGGATGATTTTGAAAATCATCTAGATCTTGTAAAAATATATATATATATATATATATAACTCAAAGAAAATCCCTACCTCAAGTTTTGAAGAGAATTTGAGATGAAACCTCAAAATCTATGGTGTCGAAACTCAATCTCCACCGCACACAATGAAGCCCTCGAGGTGATAACCAACTTTGGTGAAGAACTTAGGCCTAAATCCCAATGGATTTGGAGAAATCAGAGAGAGAAAATGATTCTAGAGAGAGAAGCTCTAGATCTAGAAATTTGGAGAGTTTTAGAGAGAGAGAGGGCTGCAAAAAGTGATCTGAAACCTTAATTTATGGACTGATATAACAAGGTCACTCGAGCATAAAATACACTTTCCCGTAAGCAATTTCGAATGCATTTTTCATTTTTGCTTTCAGCGAGCTGACCGGGCAGCTCGACCCCTGAAGTTGACCGAGTCAAAATCGGGATCGCTACAAATATGATATAAAAAAAAACTAGTATATATGGGATGACTTTTTAATTTTTTACGAAAAGATGTGCAAAAAGTAAAGAGAAAAGAGAATCTTTGACTTTTTGGTATAGGTTGTTGTTTTTTGGTTTTTTTAGTAATTTTTTGACTTTTAGGCTAAAAAGTGATATTACCAAATGAGGCCATTCATTTTCATTTCAGAATTAGCTTGCTCACAAATAAGATAATAAAAAAAAGTAATGGATAAGTTTTCTTTAGGTGTTGTAGTTTGCCATGAAGTAGTGGATATATTTTTTTTTTTTTGTTTTAATCAAAAAAAAATGTGCAGAAGTAGA